CTACTACTACTACTGCTGCTCCTGCTCCCGCTCCAGGTCCTGCTCCTATTCCTGCTACTGCTACTGCTGCTACTACTGCTAAGCTGCTGTCAATTTAGTGCCGGAGCTTCGAAGGAAGTGACATATCCCCAAGTTCAAAGGTAAAAGGTTTAGGATCGTCCCAATGACACCTTGAACAAACAAGCTTTGCTCCCTAAGTCTTAGTTAATATGAAATCCGAAGCCCAAATCGCACCCGACAAACACCCCAACTTGCAACAGTTGCAAAACATGAGCCGCACTTCTAGTCGGAGGTTCAAACCAAGAACGAGAAACCTAGGAATGCAACGTGCCAGCCCAGTTGTAGAGGTTGACTAACCCTAAACCTATAAAGCTTGAGCCTACAACCCTATACAAGCTGATCTGCAGGGGGTGGGCTATGCAGCCCCGCCGCATGTGCTGTGGCAGCACCGCAAGAGCCTCTCGTTTGCAAATGGAAGGCCGTCAAGGGGAGCCTCCAGGCTTCCTATGTTTTCTGAGCTTGAGACGGCATTAAAGGTTCAATGCGCAAGGTACCTAAATCTGTTCTGAGCCCTTATACAGCCTGTTACAGGGACAGTAGCCAGCTACCCTTATCCCTCAGGGCCACACCCTAAACCTACTGGGCTTCTACGTACTAGTAACCCGCTACCCAAACCCCCACAAACACGAAAACCCACAACACCCCTAAACCCTTCACCCTTGAGGCCGTAGAGCCCTTAGACCCTCAAACCTCAAGTGTTGGGAAGCTTCGGTACCACTTCCTGGGCAGAGGAAGAATTTCAAGCTAACACTAAAATCACCCCAAAGGCCTCCAAACGCAAAAGGTTTCAAATCCTCAAGTCCTGCTAAAAGCCCTATGCCGCAACTTGCTTGTCCGCAGTGACGTCTTGCAGAAAAGGCTCGAGCCCTACATCCGAAACTTTGCAAAAAGCCGAACCTTTGCCCTACAAAAGCCCCAAAGCCCTGAACCCAAAGCCCTAAACCCTTGTAACACAAGCAAAGAGAAACGAAAGGCATGCAGGGCCCGGGCCCAATGACCAGCCCTGTGCCAATGCCTCAGCGCTGCGAAGTTTCGTGATGTTGCTCCTTTAATAGGTCCTTTGCATCATCTGTATATGTATATATATATATATGTATGTATATATGAATAAGATTACCATGCTTATTGCAGATATTACTATGATGCTTGCAATAATAATCACCGTCATAAAACTGATAATCATCACAATCAGCAGCCATAAGCCCGATCCACGCTGGGCACCATGTCTCACATTACCACGACGATCCACCACTCCCCATTCTCCACCATCAAACTCAACTAAAGATCTCTCTTGAGGCCGAATCGTCAGACCTAATTTAGGGGTTTAGGGCCAAGTTTAGCGTTGGGGGTTTTGGGGTTTCAAAGCGGCTCCCGGAATGGAGGCCATTGCCTCCGCCGATCTCTTCTCCTTTGGTGCATGATCGTGCCTGTATAAGAGCATCAGCGCGCACTCGGCAAATCTGAGCTTGCGCGCAACATCTGGGATCCCAAATCCACAGAAACGGAAACCTTCATTTCAGAGCATGGGGGGCCTCGACAGGCTGGATGTTAAGACGCCACACTTTGCAATTTTCTGTTTCTGTCTATGTACAGAGCTTGGGGTCTCAACTTCTCGAGAAGCCCACCTTTTGCAAAGGTGTTGCTACAGAAATTGACCAAGCTTGACATGCCGTAAAGAATGGGCCCCTACTCGTAGCCCTCAACCCTGCATGGCAATTTCGAGCAACCATGCTTGCCAAGAATTCGAGGTGCCTGTCCAAATAGGACGTTTTCTGCAGGGTCCCGGAATGCAGCTTAGTGCTCTTTTGTGGGTCCGCTACGGGAAATTCAAGGGCCAACCATATAAGATTTCGCTATCGATCAACATGCAGTACCTTCGGCGAAGCCTGAAAAGAGCACGAACGGGGACAGGGCACCATGCCAAGAGCGGTATGAGGATACCGTGTTTCGGCAACTGCCCATGCGGGAGCAAATAAGACGTGCCCTTTTGGCGTAGGGACCTATAGGGGCCATTTTTTTAGAGTTTCGGGCACGGCGTGATAGGGCCCCATCTGTCACTTCGTGGCTTTTGAAAGGAGGCAGCGGAGAGTGCCTGAGTTGAGCCGGTGAGGCGTGGCCTGGCCTGGGCTCGGAGCCAGCTAGAACCCCAGCACGATTAGGATCTATCTATCTATATATATATATATATAATATATATATATATATACTAAGAATAATAATAGTTATAATCATACTAATATTAATAATATAAATAATAATATAGATAAATAAATAAATAAATACACACACACATATATATATATATATATATATGTATAAGGGTACTGGATCGAGTCGGTCAATCAGGTGACCACATAGCCAGGAGCCCCAGTGCGCTTAGGAGCCATCGCCATTGAGAGCTCACCGCCGTGGCACCGGCGGAAAAGAGCTCAGCGAGCCCGCGCACGACATCGCATCTGGACTGCACGGCTGAGCGGCCGACCACCCCCAGCGAAGTCACTCGGACTCCTCGCTGGCCATCACACCAAGCCGAAGTACCGGGAACTCCGCGTACGTATGGGACGCAGAGGAGAAGGTAAACAGCAAGGATGGCAGGGATGGAAAGAAGACAAGCGAGCCAAAGGGCGAGGAGATGGAGTGTGGCGGCAGCCTGCTTCCTCGTCTGGGCAATGGTGGTCGGAGTGGGCCCAACAGGAAGGAGATGCACCAGATTTCCCCACCTACAGCATGATGCAGACTGGAGGAGACAAGCCGGCCAACGAGCCAGGCACGGGCAGTGGAGCCCGACCCGGGACCCAGAGGTTGGATCTCGCCAAAGGGTACCAGAAACTGGTTACGGCTGCTCGCAAAGCGGAAGTGAAGATGAGGAAGGCCGAGGAAGAGAAGAATGCTGCCGAGTCCCGTTGGACCGTCTTCCAGGACAAGCTCCAGCAGGTCTTCATCAAGGAGAGGATGAAGTTCCGCAAGGATATGGAAAGACTGGAGGAAGAGATCGAGCAGCACATGGAGGCGCAGCAGGAAGCCTTTGCGGAGCTCAAGGCGACCATTGCCGACCCCAAGAGGCTCTTCCACGAGAACGCCCACCAGGACAACGTTCCGGCCGACATCGCCGCGGAATGGCAGCAGCTGATGGAGAACTGCGAGGACCCGGACGAGACGATGACGGACGCCCTGGCGGCGCAGCTGGGAGAGAAGCTGAGGAGCCTTCTCGGGCCGGATCCAACGACGCCTATGCGAGCCAGGAAAACAAGAGTTTTGCCAAGGACCCCCCCGTGCGAAGGAGGGGACAGCCGACGAGCTTGCCTGTCCTCGCTGGACCGCCTCATCGACCGAGCAGTGAGGAAGGCCAACCATGCGGAGGCGAGGGGTCCAGCAGAGACTGGAGAGGGCAGTGCCAGGCCGGAGGATCCGTACATGGCTTCGCCGAGTACTTTGGCAGGCCTCCCGTCCCCAAGCCTGCTGGCCGGCACGCGCAGACGAGGCTCGACCCCGCGCATGGGTATCAAGCTCAAGGGCAGGACGTCAACTCCGCGCCCCAAGCCGGGAACCAAACTTGCGGAGAAGTTGGAAACGGCAAGACGCAAGGCCTCGGACCACCAGGACCGCGACACCATGTCGGTAGAGACCGACGACGAAGAGGCCCTACTTGCAGAGCTGCCCAAGAAGACGGAGCAGATGGCGGCGAACGAGGTCGAGTAGCTCCTCTTCATGTTCATGCAGGGCGGCCACCGGGCCTCCCTGGGCACTGCAACGTGCACCTCCATGGGCCTCGCTTGGGCGAGGATACAGAGTTTGCAGACATGACGGGGCTTTTTCGGTTTGTCCCCGCTGACAGCGCCGGGTACTTTGACGAGCACCTCCATGGACCTCGCTGGGGCGAGGATACAGAGGTTGCAGATGCGATGGGGCTTTTTCGGCTTGTCCCCACTCATGGCGCTGGGTACTATGACGTGCACCTCCAAGAGCCTCGTTGGGACGAGGATGCAGAGGTTGCTGATATGACGGGGCTTTTTCGGTATGTCCCCGCTTACGCTACTTTCCGGCAAAGATCAGACAGGCGACATGGACCCAACAGTGGCTACGCCGCCCTGACTCTGACCGCCTATAAGCCCGATGGGGGCAAACAAATGGGTAGCGTAGCCAGTGACGCGACCGACAACATCGAGGCTCAGATCCAAGACAAGGAAGGCATCCTGCCCGACCAGCAGCACCTGATCTTCGTGGGCAAGCAGATAGAGGACAGTTGTACCCCCTCTGATTGCAGCATCCAGAAGGAATCCATCCTGCACTTGGTGCTGCGCTCGCGAGACAGTATGCAGAATTTTGCCGAGACCTTGTCGGGCAAGACGACCACCCTTGGTCGTGTGGCCAGCGACACGATCGACAATGTCAAAGTGCAGACCCAGGACAAGGAAGGCATCCTCTTCGACCAGCAGCACCTGATCTTCGATGGTAAGCAGATACAGGACGGAAGTACCCTTTCTGACCACAATACCCAGAAGGAACTCGCCCTGTACTTGATACCGAGCGTCCGAGGCGGTATACAGAATCTTGTCAAGACCTTGGCGGGCAAGACGATCACCCCGAATATCGAGGCCAGTGACATGATCGGCAACATCGAGGCTCAGATCCAGGACAAGAAAGGCATCCTGCCCGACCAGCAGCACCTGATCCTTGCCGGCAACCAGATAGAGGACGGACGTACCCCTTCCGATTGCAGCATCCAGAAGGAATCCATCCTGTACTTGGTGCCGCGCTCGCAAGGCGATATGCAGAATTATGTCAAGACCTTGTCGGACAAGACGACCACCCTGGGTGCAGAGACCAGTGACACGATCGACAATATCAAGGCTCAGATCCAGAACAAGAAAGGCATCCCGCTCGACCGGCAGCACCTGAGCTTCACCGGCAAGCAGTTACAGGACGGATGTACCCTTCCTGATTACAACACCCAGAAAGAATTCGCCCTGTACCTGATACCGAGCGTGCGATGCGATATACAGAGTCTTGCCAAGATTCTGGTGGACAAGACGATCACCCTGAATATCGAGGCCAGCGACGTGATCGACAGCACCAAGGCCCAGATCCAAGATAAGGAAGGCATCCTGCCCGACCAGCATCGCCTGATCCTCGCTGACAACCAGATAGAGGACAGAAGTATCCCTTCTGATTGCAGCATCCAGAAGGAATCCACCCTGTACCTGGTGCCGCGCTCGCAAGGCGATATGCAGCACTATGTCGAGATCCTGTCGGACAAGATGACCACCTTGGATGTGGAGGCCAGTGACACGATCGACAATGTCAAAGCTCAGATCCAGGACAAGAAAGGCATCCTGCCCGACCATCAGCACCTGACCTTCTCTGACGAACAGTTGGGCGATCGCGAAATGGGGCACGGCCCTACGGGAGGCCACGACCCCGAGACCGACCATGCGACGATCTACGACATCATCGATGTGTACGAGATTGCCATGCAGTGGTCGCAGGCAAGAGCATGGCGACTTACCACGGCAGTGGCAGAGGCAGCAGCAACAGCTACCCTTTCGCTGGCGATGACCCAGCTCTTTGCCCTGCTGATGCTTCTGGCGATTTACAGTCGCAAAAAGCACCCGTTTGGCACCTGTGGCAAAGCCCGACCGGTGTGGATACGCACCATCCTCTTCGCGGCGGTGATCAGAGGGACACTGGCCGGCTATAGGGAAGAAGGGCAGCCCAAATGCAGCAAAACGGGCATCCCGCTCCCCACAGACCTGGAGCTGTGGATGAGTGGACAAGCGACGATGAGGGAACAGCTTGCAGCTGCACTTGAAAGACATGTGGCGTCTCAGCCGCTGGGGCACAACAGTGAAGTGGCACCGCCACCGAACTTCACAGTGCCCATTCCAGACCCTCCTCCGCCGCCACCACAGTTACAGCCGCACGAGCACTGGATCAACAGAGAGGAGCCAGCCACAACCCACATCTCTTTCTGGATCTGTGCGCCATACTACGAGTCCATGTCATTGGATGTGGCGATGAGCTTCCCCCTCACAGTGAACCGTGTCTTCGAGGCCATCCAGAACTCAGCGATTGATTTGCCAACTGACATCCTTGACCACCCGGTTGCCATCACACCCCAACCTGACGAAGCCTATGGATCAGTGATGATGATCCCGGCTTGGGTCAGGATGTCTGGCAAGACAGCAGTGGTACTGGACGGAAGACACGTTGGGGCGGGCATCTTCGTGGCCTACTTCGAGGGGCCCCTAACAAGGCGAGCCCTGCTCCAGAAGATTGGTATGGGGATGGATGAAGGTATCTCTGTCTTCCTGTTTGGCTCGCTGCAGCCGATGACCGATGACCAGCGGGAGCCACCAAGTCAGGGTGGGCTCATTCTCTTCCACCGGCGAGGAGAAGTACCGGAGTGGGCCACGGAACTCGACACCAGGATGGCGGACACAGCCAGATGGAGGCCTGAAGTCGACCACCCGCAGCACCTCCCAGGCCGTCACATCGAATTTCAAGGAGAAGAGCAAACCTTCCTCCACCAACTTGACAGGACTGTGGCACCCGACCCGCAACGAATGGCGGACCATGCCTTTGGGGCCGCACAAGGCGAAGTTTGGATTAGAGCCCCTACTCAAAGACCCATGCGGATGTATGCCAGGGGAAAGAGAGTTCACTCCATCATCGCGGTCCTGGGGGCCGCCCGCTATCCTAGGGACCGCACAAAGGTCGTCTTCCTTGACACGAGACCCATAGGGCTCTGGCCGCAATGGGTAGCGATACCGGGGGACTTCCTGGATCCGGGAGCCTATGCTGAAGGCCTCCAAATCCCCTACATTGAGGGCTACTCCTTGATCATAAAAGGAGGGCGGCGGCGCCGGGATGGAATCAGGATCCGTGTCCTAGACGGCGAGGTCATCGAGTTCCTCCTGAAAAGATCCGAAGAGGTCACGCCTACTTCGTCTAGCTTCGACCCAGACTCGAGCGACGACGAAGAGGACCACAACGGGGACGAAGGTGATGACAGCGACCACCCCATGCCCAACTCCAGTGACTTCTCGGACCCTTCGCCGCCCGAAGGAGAAGGACCTTATGGACCGCCGCCCCCTCGACCGGTCAACGAAGACCGTAGCCGCTCTCCGAGGAGAGATGAACCGCGCCATGGAGGTCAAGAGGATCCACCCCCGGACATGCAGCTGGAGACCGAGGTCCTACATGACGTAGTACGGCCACTACAGCGAAGTGCCCTGAAGTTGGCCGACCACGTCGCGCCCTATATCCCTCATTTTGACCTCACAGAACAGTGCCTCCGCCTACCACATAGAGGCCACGACCTACAGGCCCTGACAACACCGTGGGGCACGGGATGGCTGTCATGGACTTTTGACGGAATCAACGTCAAGCAGGCCACCAAGGACGCCATGCAGGACGCCCTCAAATGGCCGGACCTTTTTCGACGCGCGGGCCCGACCGACAACATCGAGTTCCACGTGTATACCGATGGCTCGGCCAATGGCAGACAAGACCGTAGCGGCTACGGGGTAGTTGTTTTGCTCAAAATTGGGGTTGCCTATGCCCTCCTCGGCTTCTTCGGCGGCCAGCTGCTAGGTAACCCGTACAATGTTTGGCCTCTGCAGGAACCGGCCGCCCTTCGAGGGGAACAGGTAGCCCTAGCGGCTGCACTGCTATGGGCACTGCAGTTCTCCCATGTCCTACAGCATGCGACCTGCTGCATCCATTATGACTGCATGGCGGCGGGCAAAGCAGCGACAGGTGACTGGCAACACCCTGACCGTTTCAGTGAGAAAATCCACCACCTTGAGCTTTTCTCCCGAGACTGCATTGCCGGTGGTATACAAATGTCACACGTCGCTGCACACAGCGGAGACCCATGGAATGAGTTGGCGGATGAGATCGCCAAGGCTGCGGCTGCAAACAGGGGGGCCCTATGGCAGCCCCCACACACCGCCATCGAGACCTTCCTGAATACCGACATCTCTTGGCTGGCAGCAGCCCATCATGCCACCATCCATGGAACCCTCCCAATCTACGATGGCGAGCTGCGTTGGTCGCCAGAGAACCCGCCCTTTGCAGCAACCACTCCGCTCAAGCCCTCCCAGATCGTCCCGACGATCTCGGAAGCCTGGGGCCAAGGACGGGACCCACAGGACTTCTCTCTCACTGTGGCTACTTTGAACTCCCAGGGGATGGCTGGGAAGCACAGATACTATGAGGAGCAGTTGGACGAGTTCAAATGCAACATTTTCTTCGTCCAGGAGCACAAGGGCGACTCCAGTGTCTGTCTCTCCAAGCGCTATATGCGCTTGCACACTGCCGGGAATAAGCATTGGGGAGTTGGCGTCTGGATCAGCAAAAGCCACGGCATTCTCTCTATTGATGGAAAGCCACTGCAAGCCGACCTGGCAGACATCAGCATCCCCTATGAAGACGAGCGGCTCCTGATTGCCACCGTCCTCCTTGGCGGGGCAAAGGTCGTTTTGGTCTCGGCCCACTGCCCACATGCGGCTAAACAACAGGAGGCCGAGGACTTCCTGGCGAACCTAGAGACCCAGCTACGAGCCGTCCTCCCAGCTCACATGATCGTCGCGGGGATGGACCTGAATGGTCGGCTCCCGTGTCCTTTTGGGCGGGTCACTGGAGACCTGTCAGATGGGCACCCGGACCACACTGGAGCCAAAGCAGCAAACATCTGCCAAGAGTTTGCCCTATGGGCCCCGGCCACATACCACTCCCTACATAGGGGACCAACGGCGACATACCGTCACCCTATGGGGGGCGAGCACAGGATCGACTACATCCTCATCGGTGGCCGTGCACAATGCCACCAAGCCCGCAGCGAGATCTCCCAGACCTTCGACACCATGAATGCCAACGATGACCACTCGCTGTCTGTGGTGCATATGGTGGGCACATGGAAACACCAAGGCTGCCGAGCAAGGCTCTGGAGGCCCCGCTATGACACGACCAAGCTCCGCAGTCCTGCGGGCAAACAACTGGTCGCGCTCGAGATGGAGAAATACATTCCTCCGCCCTGGAATACACACCCGGACGCCCACTGCCAGCACTTGCAGGACCACATGAATGGGATCCTCCACCGGCATTTCCAAAAGCCGGCGAATGCCCCACAAGCGAGCTACATCCCGGACTTTGTCTGGGATATCCGGCTACAGAAACTGCGTCTGAAGAAGGAGGCGACACCACGGAGGCAAATCTGGCATCGGCCCTTTAAAGCAGCGTTCGAAGCCTGGCGGAGTGGACACCCCCTGGTCGTGCCCCTTGCAGCCAAGAAGGAGATCCTCCTGCATGGGATTGTCGCTCTGGCTGTAAAGTTCGCCACATACCGTATCAAGATCGGTATCAGGCGGGCCAAGAACGACTTTCTGAAGCAAATGGCCAAGGGCCCAGAGCCAACCACAGGCGCCAGCCACATGCTGGGCAACCTTCGTCGAGCCGGGGTAGGCAAGACAGCCCACAAGCCGTACCAGAAGCAGCTCCCCCTCCTACTCGACGACCAGAACCAGCCGACTGCAAGCAAGGCGGACCGGGACATGGTATGGCTAAAGCACTTCGGAGCTCAGGAATGCGGCCAAATCCTACCCGTCCACACCCTAGCCGAGATGCCGCACCCGAAGATTGTACAAGATCGAGACTTGGAGTGGACGATGAACAGCCTCCCTTCCATCGACGAGCTGGAGAAGGCCTACCGCCGGGCCCCCTTCAACAAATCAGCCGGCTTGGACGGGATCCCTGGCGAACTCCTGAAAGCCGCCCCCGCCGCCCTGGCCCGCAGCAGCCACGCTTTGATGACCAAAACGGTCCTGACCCTCCAGCAGCCGCTCCAATGGAGGGGAGGGGTCCTTTATTCTGCGTGGAAAAGGGCTGGAAACCCTGCTTTGGCTGAGTCCCACCGGTCACTGTTTATCAGCAGCCTTCTGGGAAAATCCCTCCATCGCCTGATGAAGGACAAGGTTGCTCACAACATCGAGAACTCACTACACCCCCTTCACATGGGCTCTCGACGGGGGGCTCCGGTCACCTATCCCGCGATGGCCATCCTGTCCCACCTACGAGGCACCATTCGGCGGAAACAATCCGCTGCCATCCTCTTCTTGGACACCAAGGCTGCATATTATATGGTAGCCAGAGAGATGGCTGTGGGAAAGATCTCTGACGACCAAACCATCGCCCATGTCTTTCGTCGTTTCCAACTGGACCCGGAGGATATCCACGAGCTCTACAAGGCAATTACGGAAGGCGGCGTCATGGCGGACTTTGACATGGACCCTGTGGTGCGACATGTGGCGAAGGACTACCACCACAGGGCATGGTTTACTTCGCACTACGGTGACGGGTCCCGCATCTGCATGACACGGGCTGGATCGCGACCGGGAGAGAGCTGGGCAGACTGCATCTTTGCAGCCGTCTACAGCCGCGTGCTATACCGAGTCGCAGAAATGGCCCAGGCCGAGGAGCTGATCGACCCTCACTACTTTGATCCCACCCTCGGCATTTTTGCCCAAGGCGAAGGTCATGAGCACGTCTGGATCAACGACAGCACCTGGGCAGACGACTCTGCCTTCCCCCTGAAGGATGCCAGCCCGGTCGCGCTTTTGAAGAAGGCATCGCGCCTTTCCTCTCTGGTACTATCGCGGTGCTATGAGTTGGGCATGGTGCCAAACTTGAAACCGGGCAAAACCTCACTGTTGCTCAGGATTGCAGGAAAGGGATCGGCCGCCGCCAAGCGGCTCTTCTTTCCGGAGGGCAAGCCTCAGATCTACCTCAACGACCTCCAGGTCAGCATCGCCACCGCCCCGGTCTACACCCACCTCGGAGGCGTCCTGGACCATCGAGGATCAATGCTCCCGGAGACGAGGCGGCGTCTGGCCATCGCCTCGACATCCTTCGACGAGGGCAAGGTCCTTGTCTATGGCAACAAGACGATCGACCTCCCTGCGCGGGTCGCTGTCTTTGAGGCGGCAGTACGCCCCACCCTCTTCAACCTATCTCTCTGGCTGATCCGAGGCCCGGCATGGACCAAGCTTGAACTAGGTTATGCACGGCTGCTGCGGCGGCTCCTGGCCACACACTTCCAAGGAGAGGCCCTTTTCAGATTGCCCTCGCAGCTGATCTATGCCCTCACGGACAGTTTTCCCCTGCACATGGTTGCTCGCAAGACGCGCTTTGCCCTTCTATGCTCTATGGCCCTTACGGGACCCTCTGGATTATGGGCAATGCTCCAGTGGGAGATGGAGTGGTGCGAGCAGATGCAGCGTGACCTGGAGTGGCTTTATGCCGGCGACCCGGCCTATTGGCCACAACCGTGCGGGGCCAGCTGGCCTGAATGGTGGCGGCTACTGCGCTGCTCTACCAAGCGAGTCAAGGCCCGCGTCCAGAAGCAGCTGGACAAGGACTTCGCCACCTACTGCAGCTATCACCTTCGCAAGCTGGGCCTATGGGGCCTGTACCGCCAAGCAGCCCGGGCGCTCCCTGGGATACCGGTACAGCGGACATGGTGCTGCCGTCCATGTGGCAAAAGCTTTGCCAAGAAGGCACAGCTAGCGGTCCATTTCTTCAAGGTGCATGCCCGCAGGGCCTTGCACCGCCTTAATGTGGAAGGGACAGTTTGCCGAGCTTGCGGGCGTCAATACTGGTCAGTCAACCGGCTGATGACGCATCTACGGGACTCCGCTACTTGTGTGGCGACCCTGCGGGGGATGGGATACCACAACGAGGAACCCTGCCCAGGAGTGGGCAGCAAGCGATGGAAGCAGCGAGACGTGGACCAGTACACGCCCGCCCTCCCGAAACAAGTCCAGGAAGGTGTATCAGCCAGCGGAGGTGAGATGTGGGATCGAACCCAAAAGGAGGCCCACCGGGCCTTGTCCGCGGCTCTCCTCGTCCCGGATCTCCCTTCCCAAGCGGCTACAGTCCAGGACAGCATCGGCAAGATCCTGGGTGATTTCCCCCTCTACGAGCAGGAGGAGCAGGACATCGCGGGCGCCGTCTACCAGGAGACGCGGGAGATCGTCGCGGCCGACCTCAACGACTACTGGTCCCAGCCGCAGCTTGAGGCCATGCAGAGTGCTCTGCGGACTCTCATGTCTGGAGCATGCCCTTCCGAGCCGGGCGCACCGACGATCGCCGAGGACAAGTTCTCCTACGACGACTTCTTGGAAAAGGAAGACGCCATTGACTGGGAACGCCTGCGGGCGTCCTTCCAGTCCCCTCACGAGACCAGGACGGAGACAGTTGTCATTCTGGTTGGGCCCTTGGAAGCTGTGTGGAGCCCAGACAGAGACTTTCTTCGCAACACAGCCGTGAGTACGTTTCCTGAAGCCCTTCTCCCCCAGAGCATCAGGCGAGCTTGGGACACTATCACAACAGGTGGTAACGTACAGGTCCTAGCTCCGCCCGCATTCTGGGGATCCTATATGGCCAAGCCTTTTAGAGGCTGCGATGGCTGTCCACTGCATGCCTAAATTAAGCTGCGAACCAACCTCTGAACGCTGCCAAAGCCAAAATATATGTATAATAATTATTATCATTATAATCATACTAATAATAATAACAATAAATAATATAGATAAATAAAGATATATATATATATAGATACAGATATGTGTATATATATATAGATATAGATACATATATATATATAGATATGTATATATATATATATATATATATACATTTCTTTATTTATTTATTTATCGTTTAGGTTTAGGGTTGCAGGTGTGCTTGTAAGATGAATTGTTACAGCTGCAATGAGGGAGCACAGCAAGTATCATGAACAGAGCCACCATCACCATCAATCCCGCCGCCGTTACAAATCCCAGTATTCCTGAAACCTCAACCCTATACGACCCCTTATCCTGGCACCAGATTATAAACAAACCAAACTCAGAAAATCGAAATTGTCGAAGCCCCAAACCCGCCTGAAGACACAACAAGACGCGTTCAAGGCGGAAAGCCCAGAAGCTCCCAAGCAGCGCTGCCCACCACAGAACGCCTCAAAAGGCAAGACAAAAACTAAACCCTAAACCGTCTAAACTACACATACACCCTACACTCTAAAACCAAAACCTTCCATCCTGAATCCTAAAGGTCCTAATTCCAAAGCCTTTTCCTGCCATGGGCCCAGCAGCCTGATGACGTCGGAGCAGGCTTTGACCAGTGCTCAGATTTACCGTAGGGTGTACCCATCCGCCCCATAGTAGTTCCTTTTTGGGATTACCTTATAAGGTTCTAAATATGAACCCCGAAAAGGAACTACGATGGGGCCCATGGGTAAGTATGTAGGGTTTTACCTGGGCTTTGGGGTTGCCTGCTGCGGCTTCAGGGATGGGGCGTTCGTCTTCCAGGTTTTCAGGGTTTGGAGCCTTCGTCGTTTTTGTCCGTTGATTTCGGGGATAGGGTTGTGTTAGATGGTCTTTAGGCTTTGGGGTTATGGGATGGTTTCACGTTAGCTTGGCCTGCTTCAGAGCCTCTATGATCTCTATGACATTCCATGATGTGCCGGGCCTAGGACGTGAGAGCTGAAAGGGTTGGGGTTGGAGCTGGAAAGGTTTTTACTGTTCAGTGTTTTGGGTTGACGGGAGATCCGGCACTGTCCTGAATCCGGCGCCTACGGGTCTAGCGGGCCACCACTGGGTGAAGCGAGCAGTGCTAGGGTTTCGGATTGAGGCTTAGGGGTTTGCGGGCCGAATGTGTACCAAGCATCAAAACCCTCCCTACGAAGCATTACAGTCCCTGCAGCCTCAACCTTAAAAGCAGTTACCGGCTACTTTGAGTTTTACCTGTCAGGGCTGTGAGGAGGATTCTCCGCGCGACCAGGAGCAGGAGGCCCGGCGTGGGGAGTGAAAGCAAGGGATTTAGAGGGTTTGTGGTTCAGGTTTTGGCTTTATAGGGTTGAGGGTTTATGTAGGGCTTGTTTAATTTCTCGGCCTTCAGACTCTTTGTCCAGAGGATGCGTAAGCCGACAAAGCCCTGCAAATTTCATCCTGCTCGGCGTCGAACTGCGGGTGACAGGTCAAGGCTTTCGGGTTGGATTCAGGGTGCAGCATGCTGCGATTGCCATGCAGAACATAATCAAGGTTTCTGCGCCACACGTCGTGATCGTCGCAGGCACTGAGATCCCGACATGGCTGCTTTTGTGCCAGCAAGTTGAGTAGATATTTGTCGCAAGGAACCCGACAAAGTCCCTCATAAGCCTAGCAAAAAACCTACCCTGAACCTCAAAATCGTGATGCTCTACGTCCTCCCAGGACCTTCTAGTGCGACAAGTGCTCCGAGGCGAAGCAGGCACGGCCAAGCTCTAGACTTTAAAGGGTTTTTATTGGAGCCTTGAACTTTAGGGTTCAAGGTTTTGGGGTGCATCTTTTAGTTTTAGGCTTTCATGGTTTTCCGGGATGTCCGGATTAGGTTTGAAGGATTCCAGGATTGCCGGAGTTTACAAAAAGACCATGCGACCATGAAAGCTACGGCCTCGAAAGGTGCTGAACTGTTGCTGCACCCCTCAATGTTAAACCACTGCCAGCATGAACCCAACAGTTTCTGTACAGCCGCCTCAATGAGTCGTCAGAGATGCACATCAGGTGGGTAGTTCTCCAAAATAGGGTCCCGTTTTTAGCTCACAAATATAGTACGGAACCCTCATAAAAAAAAAAGGATCTAAAAGCGACCCTAATTTGGAGAACTACCTCTCTAGGGGCTTGTGAAAAGATGGTAATACCCATTTCCTGTTAGGCTGCAGAAACTTGGAGAAACCCATGTGCTCACCGTTCTAGAACCTTGATTTATGTCTGGAAGGTGACAGCCCCCGACCAAAGGCCAGTCCACCGGGAAAGCGCAGACTCGTCTAGCCAATGATGTGTGTCTGCCGTGTCTGAAATACGGGTTGTAATGGTTCTGGGACCAACTGAGGGTTAAGTATTAGGTTTGAGGGGGGGGGGGGTTTTGCGCGTTTGGGAAACGCCTCATTTGGAACCCCCGCATTCCTGAAGGACATTCATTTTCGGATGCCTGTTGTAATTTCCCTCAGGATGCGTGTGCGACTGGGTGATGGGCGTGTGTCGAGGTTCACATTCTCGGATTTGGCACGTAAACATTAGGTTCGAATGGGAAACCCCGCATAAGCAGCTTGAACGTCTTCGGCGAACTTACGAAAGGTGGGTTGTGGGCCGGTGCGGGGGTCTAGGGCTATGGTCCCGGTTTAAGATGTCTTGTTGCGGCGCTTGATATACAGTACTTAGAATGTTAATGCTGTTCAGGCTTCCCGATAATAAAGCTTGTATACTTAATACAGCCTGATTGAACCCTGCGGTCCCACCAAGGTCCCTGAAACCCCAAATCCTCAGATGGGAGCGGCTCAGCTGCGCGGCGTTCTCCTGCGTGCGCAGCAGCGCATGGACGCCGAGCACCGCGTCGCCACCAGTACCTGGCACGGCTCCCTGAGCTTCAAATGTGTCGATTCTGGTGATCGTCATGTGTAGATCCAGGTGGCTACAAGGCCGTTACTGTACCATCCCTAACATTCATAAATTATTGTTGTCCAGGGTCACCAATGGAAGTACATCTATCACCACGACCATCCCCACTACTTACCAGCTACCAGGATCAAGATTTGGAGTCGACACTGCTGAGGGCTTGGAGTCAAATTTTCTTTGTGTGTAGGACTGCGCAGCTTGAAAAATCAAAGCTTGAAGGATTGATTGAGAGTTTCTGGACCGACTGATCTAGGTACTCACAGCTGACTCCTAGCTAAGTACTGCATGTTATAATATGTCCTAGTACTCGCAGCTGACCTTTAAGTACCCCTCTTTGTATTATGTTTTAATCAGAAATCAGGAACAGGAACGACAGCAAGTATCGTGCGAATGGTGTTGTGTTATGGTTTTCATCGCGGGTCCCAAGGATTCAGGATGACAAGGTCTTCACATGTACTGGTTCCTAGATCGGCCTCGTGAGGGTCTCATAGGCTCAGCTTCTGCCGTGGCATGTCTGGCGTCCCGGCCGCCGCAAACTAGTAATTATGATTGAGCGGTATTGTTAGGAGTCATATAAGAGTGCAACTTAATACTCGTATGTACCTGATCAAACTTACAGGCAGCAACAGTTTCTGGCCATGGTGCGGTCAGGTCCTAGTGCTGAGGGCTATTCGAGGGTTTGAGCTTCCGTAGATCGGAGCTGCAGGCGTGCGCCGCTGTCTCTATTTGACGAGCGCCAGGCTTCGAACGGTCCGGGGCCGAGATAGTCCGAAGAACCCCTCTGCTGTTGCGACCCGCCTCTAGTTCCGATAGTTCTCATTGCTCTTCGAACAATTATCAGTGTGGTGGCTGGCATGTGTCATCGTCGCACTTGTTCTGCTTTCCAATACTGCGCATCTGGAGAGGATTAGACGAGAGAGAGAGAGAGAGAGCGAACTGGGCATGCATAAATGCAGAACTAGATAAACGAGTACATGAGCAACAGCTCGTATAAACACATACTCTACGACTCCAGCTACCTAAGCAACGGGCTACTGAGAGCCTAGTGCATATATACACATACACACATACATGCAAACAGATGTGCAGATGAACAGAAAGTTAGATGTTTTGCTTCATGGCAATTTGTTCCATACAACATCACGCAGCATTCTAAGAAAATAAGATAAGGAACCCCCAAAACAGACCCAAAGTTCGCCCATAGTAGAACCTCCCCCCCCCCCCGNNCCCCCCCCCCCCCCCCCCCCGGAAGTAAGGGACCCATTTTACGCACACCCTATAGCTTGTGCTGAAGTAGCAAAGGCAGCTGCGGATCACCCACAACCTACATGCGAAAAGCCCTGGCCTTGTATCCAAAGCAGCAGCTTCAGCGCTCTATCTGAATCAGCAGGCCTTGAACCTTCAACCGTCAATTCTGGAACTTCCAACTTCAATTCTATATATACGGTAAGGCGCAGTAAAGAGAACCCTGAGCCGTAACACAGAACCTATGAGCATTTTATAGAGGTCCCCGACAGGATCCTTTCTTGACACAGAGGCCTTCGACAACATCCATCTCACGGAGTTGTGTTCGGCCCTACATATGACGCCTGTGTGTAAACCTCGAAAATGAAAGGCCAAAAGCCCTAAATCCTAAACGGAAACCCCGAACCGTAAACATAAACCCATGGTCCCTTAAGAAAGCACAACCTATGGGCCCTACTCAGACTTAGGTGGCATTCCGGACTGGGCGATCCGCACCGTGCTCAAGGCCCCCCTTTCCCCTCGGAGACGGGCCATGGCGTCTTGGTTTGTTGTGTTTGTTGTTTTTTGGGGGGTCCTCATAATTAGGGTGTTGGGGTTGTCATCGGGTTTTTTTTCATAATGAGGGTTTTAGGATTTCTTTAATATGGGTCTAACCGACTCCACTTGGCATTGTCTAGGCTTTCATGGATGTCTTACAGGCCCTTGCACAGTTCTTATACGGATTTTGTGGTAAGTGGTTCCATTCTAGTTTTGGGTGAGGGGGTGAAGGCTTTCGGATTCTTGGGTTTAGGGTTCACGCTTAGACCCTAAATTGTACCACATTTTCTTTCTGCAAGTAATTTATTCCGCAGTCCTGTGCGTGGACCCTACAGCCGGAACCCCGAATTCAATACATGACACCCATGCACCAGACCTTTCAGCCTTGAGCCCAAATTTTTAAACACCTCAATTACGAAACCTTGATAGAATCAGAACCACGCCAGTATCTCGTAGCCCCAACATTAAACCCGCTCAAACCCCCTACAAAGTCTTGAAAAGCCCTAGACAAATCTTCAAAACAACCATGTTCCTAGCTTCCCTAAGGACCCTTTGATAAATCCTAAGCCATAAAAACAGGGAGGTTCAAAACAAGCTCACACAAAGCAGGCGCGCCGCCTTGTAGAGCAAGCAGCGGGGCTTGGCGACCTCACGGATGTTTACGAGGCCTCAACTTTGAGGGTTATCTCTTTAAGGCTTTAGGGTATAGGCGGTATAGGGTTTAAGTCTAGGCTTACGGCTTCAGACTTTTCAGGTTTATAGGGATAAGGGCTCAGGGAGGGCGCTATTTAGGTTCTTCCAGGGTTCCACAAGGGGTCTAGCTTGCAGGTTAATTAAGGGCGTACTGTTTATTTGTCTGGGGTCCCCATGCCCCTCAGCCACAAAGTTGTCTTGCACGGTTGGGCGGCCCTTCCATCCGCTAGAGAGGGGTCCTCAATATGGTAGGGGTATCCTCAGTATCTGAATTCCTTAAATTAGATAAGGGCTCTGGGTATTTGAACCCTACGTGAAGCTCCGAGTACTCGCTCGTGTTTGTAGGTTTGTAGGGCCCTCTTTAATTCCCGACTGGCGCTTATACTTAGACCTTACCAACGTGTAGGGTCACGCATTTCATTTCGGCTGAGCGAAACTGCAACGGAAGGTCCGATTGTTTCTGGGCTTGAGATTGTTGTGCCGAGCGTTTCAGATTTGGAATTTTACATGCTGGGCTTTTTCAGCATTACCGTATGTACCACAGAAGCAAGGGCATGGCATTAGTCCGCGATGAAAGCCTTGTGGCTTCGACTCTAGCCTGTAGATAGACCTCCACCGCTCCTATCGCAAACTGCCAACATAAGCCCTGAATCCAAATCTGTTAACCACATCACGTAGTCTGGGCTATCCACATGGAGAACCCTCTTTGTCTAAGCTGTTGGTTTCAGTTTTTTGCCGTGTGTAGGGCGTGGTTCCGGGTTGTAGCATTTGTTGGTTTTAAGGCTGAAGCACCATCATCACCCGGAAGGCGCAAATACTCACGGCGCAGCGCGAGAAGCGTGGCATTGCTCGTGCTCCTCTGTCGCGGGCCTAACAGACCCCTTGACCCGCTACTGTAAAACCCTATGTACATCTTACGACCCAAGCCCTTAAACTGCCCTTGAAAAGTGCTCGATGGGCATTGGTGTCTGCAGTTTTGGGTCGAAGTGTACAGGGAGTTGTGTTTTTGTTTGGGGTTTTCCGACTGCTGTGTTCGAATTTTGGTTTGGCCACATATTGGGTTGGTGTTTCCGGTTTTTTGCCACGGAGCACAGCTGGTCGACCGTGCAGGCTTGATAGCAACTTCCGAACAGGTGGGATCATTGATTGGGGGGTATTGGGATTCATGGTTTGGGCGGGGTTAGTATTGTTTAGGTGCTTTTGTAAAGTGTCCGCTGCTTGTGGCTTTGAGAGTGATAATTAGGGGATTATAGGTTAGGTTTATGTAGCTTCCCAGCTGCCCGAGCCCAGTGGCAGGAAGCTGTTTCGGCTTTCGGAGTCCCCGCTTGCAAGTTCTAAGTGCCCCAAAATACACTTAAATCCGAAGCCATGCCGGAACAGCTCCTGTAGACATGCAGGGTTCCATAACACAGCCCTAAACCCTAAATCCTCAACCCCAGTCTTTCCCTAGCTCGTATCGTAGCCCTTATGGTGACCCTTCTGGCGGATAACCCATATAGTAATCCTGATAGCACTCTTTGCACAACCTTCAACGAACCCTGAACCTCTGAGCCCTTCACGAGGAGCCCATACGGCAGTTGGAGGAAACCCAGAAGCTTACAATCCCTGGTAAGCCTCACATCTGGATTTCTAGGGTTTTCGGTAAGTATATGGACTTAAGGCTTAAGGTTTATGGGGCTGTTTGGGATCCATGCGAACCCTGAGCCCTTAACCGAAGCTTCGGATTGGTTCTACAGCAACTTCGAGCAGCCATGGCCAGTGCACCCATGCAGACGGCTGGATGCAAGGCCGCCCTTCTGCCAGTGTAGGCTTTGGGTTTCTGGTTTAGGTATATATGCACGCCACAACAACCTCATTTGGGCTACCGAGGCCGCTGGGTTACCGAGGCCGCTCCACCACGTAGCGTGTCTGAACCTTGGGAGGGTGCGTGCTCCACATGAGCTGTTTCTGAGATGGCTTCTTTCTGAGTTTGTTCCGGTACTAAACCAACAGAGCCACGAGGACTTGCGACCAGAGACACAGGATGGAACCATGAGTAGCACTGCGAAGCAGGACATCCCGAAACGTTTGGGTCGCCTTTATATAGCATGTGTTTGCTCAGCTGCTGTATTCTGATTTTGGGCCAATGCATCAAAGGCAGATGCTTCACGGGCCTTCAGCCGGTTTTGAGTGTCCTTCACAGGGTTCTATACAGGGTGTTCTAGGTGATAAGGCTGTTATAGGATTCCGGGTTTGTTCCAGACTTGTACATGTAAAAGTCTTCTTAGCGGTTTGGGTCTGTTTGCCTGGGGGCGGCGAGATAGCACTGTGCGTGGTTCCAGCTTCGGCTACTCCCCTTAAACCCTATAAAGCCTACGACCTAAACCTTAAAGTCCCAAACCGAAACCCAAAGAAGGCCTAACAGCCCCCAATGTGTTTTGTCAGGCGCCTCGAAGGCGCATCTCCTGCCTTGCCTGCGCAGCGATGGCGACGTCGGATCTTGAGCTCTTTGGGGTTGAAGGGTAGGGGCCTGTCCTTTTTGAAGGGATCTACAAGGCTTCCTGCAAAGGGGTCTATGTATACAGTAGGGTACCATAGGTAATTAGCAATACTATCTTGGGGCTCCTTATCATTAGCTACAGTACAACACCCCCCCCCAAACCCTAGTCTAATTATTCAGGCCNNCTAAGACCAGCACTCCCTATCAGGATCGGCGAATCCAGGGGGTAGCTCTAGGTTTCTTCTGTATGGCCCCTATGTTTAGGGTTTGAAGGCTTTGGAGGGAGTTCTGCGGTTTTGAGGTGAAGTGGGTTAGGTGTTTGAGGGTTCACACCTGTGAGTTTTAAGGGCTTGGGCTTTAAAGTTCAGGATAGCAAGATGTAAGGACTTAGGGTTCAGCGCGGCGTTGAGGGCTTAAGGATTAGTGTAGGTTTAGGGCTTAGCTCAAGGTTTCTTTTGATTAGTCTTTCAGGATCTTTTACGGCTTGGGGATTAGGCAGTTTAAGGCTTTTGAGCCTAGAGCGTTTTGGGGATGCAGGCTTGTTGGGCTTTCAGGGTTGAGGGTGCAGGGTTTAGAGTCGAGGGTTCCGTTTCTTACTAAAGGCTCGCGTATTCACTTCTGGTGCCCCCAGGCATTTTCGGCTGAAGCCCCAGTGCCCAGGTCACTTCGTGCCAGCGGCAGCTGCTTTGCCTGGCCCGCAGGCCTGGAGGTACAATTACTGTTGGGGGGCGGGGGGCTTTCCAAGGCATAGGACTTTATATATATATATATAT